CGACTAACAATCCGCAGATTTTTTGCATTGAGTTGATAGAGTAATTTGAGTTAACGAGCTCCTTAATGAGCTCCTTAAGGAGCTCGAATTAAAGCCCCACTGTATACAGAATCCATTGTCAGATTGGGGGAACTGCCTATGGCTGTGCAGGTGTTTGGTCAGTAGGAGGCAATAACATGTAGATTGAAATGCCCTCAGCTGTCTGGTAGCAAGCAATCACCTATGCAAATCTTTAGGGGTGGGGAAATGCCCTTAGCCATTTCCAGCAGGCAATCCTCAAGGTTCCATCAACCTTTTGATGAAACTTCTTACATTTATGACATACTGGAATTAGCTTCCGGCACCCCAGCAGCAAGCTAACCTACTGGTGGGAGCATCTGCCCCCTGGTGGTCAGTGCACATCATAGCGAGTGATTGAGCGGCCTTAGCATATCATTAGCATATTATGCTTTGATTGATTGAATGGATGACCGGATGACCAGGCATTTAGCATATTAGGCTTTTATTATATAGGATGGAATCATAAGTATGTACTTCTTTTTTTCGGGGGGGCGGGGGCGGTCCTGGCTTCTTTCATTCAACATAACTACTTGGAGACTCATTCAAGCTGTTAAGTGCGCATCAAAACTCTATTCCTTTTTATTGATGAGTAGTATTTCATTATGTGGATATATCACAATTTGTTTATCCATTCACCTATTGATGAACATTTGCTTGTTTCTTGTTTTTGATTATAACAAATAAAGCTTCTATGATCATTCATATACACATCTTTATGAATAACTTTTATTTCTCCTGGAAAATTACCTAGGAGTCACAATAATAAATGTATGCTTAACATATTTAACAGTTTGAGAAATTGCCAAGTTGTATGAGAAAGCCAGTTGCTCCACATTCTCATCACTCAAATTGACCTTGGAGCATATGTCTTTCAAAAAAATGGAAATGAATTATCTGGAAGAAAGATCCAGAATACATTAGGGTGGTGCAATCAGGAATCACAGGCAGATATTGACTACTTAAACATCCCCCACCTTCACCCCCTGGAAACCAGATATAAGCCTCAGATGGCAAAGCTTAAATAAATGACTGAACAGGGAACCTGCTTATTCTCAGGTCATAATCATGACTTGAAGACAGGATTAAACAGTTTCACGAATTGGCAAAACCAACTGTGCTGCTAACCTGAGAAATTCATTGCTACCTTGGGAGTTAACAACTAACTGAAGTCATCAAGAAAACTATATTCTACTATCAATTAATCGCCAAACACCAGGAAAATTATCATAGTTACATTATAATTCAAAATAGACACAATCAAGTGGTTTTTCTGGGAACGGGTTCAGGAACCAATTGCTTCAGCTCCATTGGAATCCCTAAGAAGGAAGAATTCTCACTTCTCCCTGACTTACCAACTGTCAGACTCCAACCGCTCCTCTTCTGTGTAATCGGCCTTAAAACATATCCCAGATGCCAATGTTTGATGTCCAGGACAAACGATGTGGTAACTGCCTAACAATGATTGGGGAAAAGTGAACCAGACTCTAGACTAGACTTGGGCACCGGGAGACAGAGGTTTGGGGAGATTTCCCAAAAACTGCAGGTGGCCAGAAGGGTTGTGGGAGAGCTGGCTGGATGGTCCCAAAGGCCTTGGACCCTAGATGGTTGGGGATCTGCAGTGTACCTGGCGCACGGCTCAACTTTTCTCGGTGACTGGGAACAGCAAGCTCCCCGCCCGCTAGTCCACGCCAGGGCTTGGACTACATTTCCCAGAGGGCTTTGCTCCCGGGCTTTGCAGTAAAGTACTAGGGCGCGCCGGGGAGGGGAAACCACGGTTGGTGAGCACCGCTGGGGCACCTCGCTGTGCTGCTGCAAGATGATTTGGGTCCTGCTCCTGCTCCTCCTTCTCCCCCTTCTCCTGTTCATCGCTGCACCCCAAATCAGGTCTGTGCAAATGTAATGTCTTTTCTTGCGAATCTTCGGGGGCGAGGGGCGGGCATCAATCCTCACGGAAGCTCTGTTTCTTCAAAAGAAGGAAAAGGAAAACTCCCCGATGGGCTCCATGTGGGCCTAGGCCGGGTTCGGTTGGTCTGAGGGGGCCCGGCTGTCCTGGATGCGGGGAGGGCGACACCATCAGACCCCAGGCCGAGGGAAGGGATTGCATACCGGAGCACCCTGCTTTGTTTCTCCTGCCCCCCTTTTTCCTCTAAGCAGCCTTTGCTTCCGGCTCCAGCAAACCCCGAGTGCAGGGCTACCTCAGACACTTAAGTTTACAGCGTTGGGGGTTTCAGACCCCAAAATAAGGTGTGCACCTCAAGACTCAATCCCCCATAGCCCCCACGCCTTGAACCGGCCCTATCTAGCCTCTTGCTTCCAGCCTGTAAAGTACAATGGAGCCATTCAACCTTCTGCTTTCCGAAACCGGCCTTTGATGGGAATCGTGACATCTCCCGCCCATGCCCGCTCGCTTGTTAGAGTTAGATGCGCTCTTTCTCTGGGCGATGTTGTAAAGGAGAAAAAGTGATATCCTGCACCCAACCCTGTCCTCAGAGCAGGATTATCGGGGTCGGAGTCAGTCCCTGGGGTTTCAGGGTGGGGCGGCGAGGACGAGGGTAGCTCTCCATTAACCTGGTCACACATCAGGCAATAGCTGGCTAAGTGTCCGCAGAGACTCAGCAGCGAGCTGCCGAGCAGGCCGCCGTAGTGACGATGAACCAGTGCCTGGAAGGACACAGCCTCCTGAGGGCGGGTGGTGCAGGGGCGGAAGCTGGGGTGCAGTCGCTGCTGGTTGGAACGTGAAGGTGCGTAAGATTTCACTCTTATTTCTTCTTGAATTCACCTCTTCTTTCCCCCCCTCCCCACCTTCCTCTTGCCCCTCATCCAGTTGTAGTTTTCCTCCCCTCTGAACACTCAGTGCTCCTACCTTTAGGCACCCTTGGGTGCCCATACTCAGAAGAAAACGGCTGCTTTTTTAAAAAAAGAGGAAGGGAGAGAGAGAGAGAGAAACATCAATGATGAGAGAATCGCTGATTGGCTGCCTCCTGCATGCCCTCTGGGGATGGAGCCCTGACTGGGAATTGAACTGTGTGACCTCCTGGCTCATAGCTCCACGCTCAACCACTGAGCCACACCGCTGGGCTGCTTTTTATCTCTCCAACACCGGAACCTCGTATCTACATAGAATCTCAATGGAAAGTTGAACCTGAAATGAAAATAGTGCTCAGACCTCAGTGAGATGTTTCTGAGGAAGATTATACTCCAAGAGTCATGTTCCCAGCTGCCTAGTTAGGTCACGGGAGCTAGGCCGGAGCTGGTCTTTCATTCCTGCTGGTTCGGGAGAAGAAAGGCCTGAGTAGAGGTCCTAATACATTGTCCCTCCTGGAGCTAACACTGAAGAGATGTGGGAAACGGAGCGAGGGAGGCTTACATCTTTATCTGCCTTCTTTGCACTAAGCAGGGGAACTTTAGTGGCTAGGAGTGTGTACCTTGCAATTCCAAGTTCAATGTAAAAGGCTGAAATGCCTTTTAAAAATGCATCTCCTGCCGAACCGGTTTGGCTCAGTGGATAGAGCGTCGGCCTGCGGACTGAAGGGTCCCGGGTTCAATTCCGGTCAAGGGCATGTACCTTGGTTGCGAGCACATCCCCGGTGGGGGGCGTGCAGGAGGCAGCTGATGGATCTTTCTCTCTCATCAATGTTTCTAACTCTCTATCCCTCTCCCTTCCTCTCTGTGAAAAACCAATAAAATATATTTTAAAAAAAATAAAAATGCATCTCCTAGTGAACGGATTCTTTCAACTTGAGCTTCAAGATTTGCAGAGAAAAGAACAATCTGAGGCCTGCTAATTACTGTTTGTATATTCATTTCTGTAGAAATGAAGAATAGTGCAGTGCTTAAGGACAAGGACTCTAGTGAATTAAACCAGAACTTGAATCTCCGCTCCCTTTTGTACTTCCCTTTCCTTTTGTCTTATTTTTAATTGTGTGTGTGTGTGTTTCTGTTTGTTTTGTCCCAGGTTGACAAACTTTCATAATTTTAACTTTTGTGTTGGATTAGCTGTTTTTTCAAGGCCATTAAGTGCTAATTATAAACATATGGACATAAGTGGACCAGTTCTTTCTTCTTCCAGGCTGAGTCTTGTGATTCCCTAAAATTTAGGGAATTTTTAGGGAAATTTAGGGCCTAAATCATAGAAGACCTCAAACCGAAGCCAGTTGCCTGGCTAATCAAATATTCATTCAGTTCTTGTACTGTAGGGAGTCGCTCTAATTATTATTGCCCTGTAATAGCCTCACTTTTATTCTTTTTTTATTTTATTTTTTTATTTTATTGATTTTTTACAGAGAGGAAGGGAGAGAGATAGAGAGTTAGAAACATCGATGAGAGAGAAACATCGATCAGCTGCCTCCTGCACACCTCCCACTGGGGATGTGCCCGCAACCCAGGTACATGCCCTTGACCGGAATCGAACCTGGGACCCTTCAGTCCGCAGGCCGACGCTCTATCCACTGAGCCAAACCGGTTCTGGCTCACTTTTATTCTTGAGTGAGGACAGAAAACTTTTGTTTTCTTTCCTCCGAACTTCCTTAAACCTATAAAAGGACAGCCGTAGAAGGAACCAAAGCAAACCTTACCCTTGAGAAAGCAGACCTTACCCTTGCAGGATCCTCTGGTTGAAACAAGGAAAATGAAGAACTGATGAGCTTTCCTTCTGTGTCTACAGGAAAATGCTATCCAACGGGGTGTGTACATCGACTGCCCAGCTTCCAGGGAAGGTGGCAGTGGTTACTGGTGCCAACACAGGCATCGGGAAGGAGACAGCCAAAGAGCTGGCTCAAAGAGGCAAGTTTATCTACTTCTAATTCCCTGCTGCTACTGCCATTTTACCTCACAATGATGACCATTCTCATTTATTTCCTCCCAATCCTGGAATTCAAGAACATTCCAAGTGCCCCACTGATTTGCTGGTGTGAGCCTAGTACAATGCTCTATATAATGAGCACTTAATGAGTATTGTTGATTAATCTTCTTTCCTCATTTACTCATCAGATGCCTCTGTTGTGAAGTAGGGATAAAATAAATAAAACAGTAGAAATAACATCCAGCATTAGTATCTATATATATAAAAACCTAAGCGACTGGCAGACCTTTTGACCGGTAGCTATGACGTGCATTGACCACTAGGGGGCAGACACTCAACACACAGGCATGGAAACATGGAACAGACTGATGAATCTCAGATGGATTCATGCACCAGTGGGGTCCCTTGGCCTGACCTGTGGAGATCGGGCCAAAACTGGCTCTCCGACATCCCCTGAGGGGTCCTGGATTGCAAGAGGGTGCAGGCTAGGCCAAGGGACCCCACCAGTGCAAAATTCTGTGCACCAGGCCTCTAGTTAAGTCTATAATACCCACTTAACAACAGAGCTGACAGTTTGTCTCTTATGCATTGATTGACAGGAGCGCGTGTCTATATAGCTTGCCGGGATGTGCAAAAGGGGGAATTGGTGGCAAAAGAGATCCAGACCATGACAGGGAACCAACAGGTATTCGTGCGGAAACTGGACTTGGCTGATACTAAATCTATTCGAGCCTTCGCTGAGGGCTTCTTAGCAGGTGAGTGCATAACCTGAGACTATGTTGTGGGTCTTGCGACTTAGCTAAAAGGAAAAGATCCCTCTTTCTGTCTGATATATAGAAATGCTAGATAAAATATAACAAAACAAAACAAAAACACCTTTTGATTCACAGCAGAACTCAGTGGTAACAATGGGAAATCCTCAAGAGGCAGACATATACAGTGAATTCTGAAAAGTCATAGCAGTGAGTAAGAACTAAAACCAAAAATCTCACAGGAGTGTCAGAACTCAACATGGGTTTTAGGGTCTGGAGATGAGGCCTTAGGCCCTTGAGAGCTGGGGAACTGTATCTGAGGCTCCACATACGGAAGGTTGGGATTCGCAAAAGGCCATCGGGTCCATGGTACAGGAGCTTAAAAAAGCCCAGGCTACCAGCTGAGGAACATGACAAAGAAGCTTATCATCTCTTCAGGACACAGATGGGTAAAGAATCATCTTCAGGAAATTAGAACCCCCCAGCTGGCATCTATGGGGCAGGGGGATCTACACCTTTGAATAGTGTTAAGAATTTTAAACTGAGGAGCTCCAGTGGCGCAATCGGTTAGCGCGCGGTACTTATAAGAATCTTAAGCTGAGAAATTAATGTAAAACCCTGTAGTACAGGGGTGGGCAAACTTTTTGACTCGAGGGCCACAATGGGTTCTTAAACTGGACCGGAGGGCCAGAACAAAAGCATGGATGGAGTGTTTGTGTGAACTAATATAAATTCAAAGTAAACATCATTACATAAAAGGGTACGGTCTTTTTTTTTTTTTTAGTTTTATTCATTTCAAACGGGCCGGATCTGGCCTGCGGGCCGTAGTTTGCCCACGGCTGCTGTAGTATCACATGAAAAGCACATCCAAGAGTATTCTGTAGGCATAGCCCCTCATAACCCAGGGAGCTAGGACTCCCAAGAAAAGGAACTTCCAGCATAATGAGCTTTTAGTCAGAAATTACTAAACACATGAGAGAGGGAAACCTGAGAGAAAGTTGGCAGATGCAACAAAGAGGGGAAGCCAGTATTTCTTTTGGTGCCTGAATCCCAGTGGTGGGGATGCATTCAGAATGTCCTTTCTTCTCTTGCTTTGGAATCTTCCCATCCAGCTGGGAAGTCTTTTTGTTGGGAGAGGTGGGTGGAACACTTCCCAGAAGCAAAGAGTAAGTTTTCCTGAATTTGGAAAGCTTGGAAAGGCCATTTGATAGTGTAAGTTGGAATTTTGTCCTGCATAGTAAAAGTATGCAAGATTCAACTACAGTCTTAGAATAAAAACAATACAAAGTAAGTATGAAGGGAACGTGGAGGAAATATTGAAGTCCTGCATCTCCATTTTCAGAGCTTAGGTGTGAGGCAGGTTTCTAAGATGTAATAGCTATGGCTCCATCCCCTCTTCCCTACAGACGAAAAGCATCTCCACATTTTGATTAACAATGCAGGAGTGATGATGTGTCCCTACTCCAAGACTGCAGATGGCTTTGAGATGCATATGGGAATCAACCACTTGGGTAAGAAATCTGGTCTCATCACAAAAGCTAGAAGGAGCCTGAAGTTCCCCTTGAAAAACTTAGGGATGAGATTGAGCCTTCTCTATAGTGTGTTTAGACCTCTCAGCCATAATAGACCATCTATACTAATAAAAGGATAATAGGCTAATTAGACTGGATGTCTTCCGGATGTCCTTCTGGACAAAGTCAACGGTGGCAGGGGCCGAGGCAGAAGCAGTTAGGGGTGATCAGGCTGGCAGGGGAGGGCAGTTAGGGGCGATCAGGCTGGCAGGGGAGGGCAGTTAGGGGGCAATTAGGCTGGCAGGGGAGCCGTTAGGGGCATCAGGCCAGCAGGTGAGCAGTTAGGAGCCAGCAGTCCTGGATTGCAAGAGGGATGTCTGACTGCCAGTTTTGGCCTGATCCTGAGGGGTCACAGATTGGAGAGGGTGCAGGCTGGGCTGAGGGACACCCTCACCCATGCACAAATTTCATGCACCAGGCCTCTAGTCCTATATAATAAAAGGCTAATTTGCAAATCAACCAAACGGCAGAATGACTGGTTGCTATGACATGCACTGACCACTCAACACAGGAGCTGCCCCCTGGTGGTCAGTGCACTCCCACAGGGGGAGCCTCTCCTGCCTCCACGACTGCACTAAGGATGTCTGACTGCCGGCTTAGGCCCGCTCCCCCTGGGCCTAAGCCATCAGTCGGACATTCCTCAAGGGCTCCCAGACTGCGAGAGGACTCAGGCCTGGCTAAGGGCCCTTTCCCCATGAGTGCACGAATTTCGTGCACTAATATATCATGGTCCTGCCTGAAAGCTCAGGGATAAACTCGAGGCTCACTCAATTCCACCACGTTTTAATCTGTGATTCAGATTCCGTTTACCGTGGGGCATTTTTGAACAGCATAATTGTATCGAGGGTTGTGTTGCATTCTTTGTAGTGACCCCTGTGGCCAGCATCAGATAGATGCTGCCTGCTCTTAAAGAGTGATGTTACTCAAAGTTGGGATGAGATGGGACTTCATGTTCATATTCACATAATCCAGACCTACCTCATCCAACAGTGATTTTTAACTTTTTTCATCTCATGACACACATAAACTAATTACTAAAATTCTGTGGCACACCAAAAAATATATTTTTTGCCAATCTGACCCCAAAAAAGGTATAATTTTGATTGATTTACAAATGATAATAATAGTAATTAACTTTTTGTTCCAGAGTAACTTTTAAAAATCAGGTGCCCCTAGAGAGTGTTATGCTGAACAAAAGAAGCCAGTTAGAGAAAGACAAGTATCACATGATCCCACTCTTGTGGAATCTGGTTAACGAAATAAACTGATGAATGGAATGGATCCAGAGACGTGGAAGCATGGGACAGAGTGCAGAATCTTGTGAGGGGAGGGTGGGTGGGTGGGAGGTGATCAAAGAACTTGTATGCATATATACATAACACATGGACACAGACAATAGGTGGTGAAGGCCTGGGGCAGGGGGCCAAGGAGGGCTGGAGGGGACCTATGGGGGGGAAATGGGGGACATAAATGTTATACTTTCAACAATAAAGATTAAAATAAAAAATCAGGTGCCTATACTTCTATATAAGGATTTCTGGTGCCAACAATTAAGCAAGCAGACACAACCTTATTATGCAATGTGAACAAGATGATGAAACTCTATTATATTTTTGGTTCAAGACAGGGGCTTACATACCAGAGGGCTATTGTCTGTGTAGGCTGTTGTCATTTCATTCATTCATTCATTCATTTTTGTTAATCCTCACCTGAGGATTTTTTTTCATTGCTTTTAGGAGAGAATGGAAGAGAGGGGTGAGAGAGAGAGAGAGAGAGAGAGAGAGAGAGAGAGAGAGAGGAACATGGACTGTTTGCCTTTTGCACACACTGCAACCCTTTGGTGTGCAAGCCAACGCTCTAACCACTGAGCACACAAGCTGTTGTCATTTTTTTTTATTTGACAGTCTAAGTGAAAAAAGGTCAGTGCATCTTACTAAATAGTTAGGTATTGCATGTTTTAAAAATTCTTGCGGCACACCAGCTAAAAATCTTTGACTGTTTCTGTTTCCCCAAACCCTCACTGAACTTGTTCTGTAGTTGACAATGAATTAATGAGGCAAAAAGCCTTATTCCTGAGTCCTCTGCTTCCCATAGCTGAGCCCTACTCACCGCTACTCCCTTCACCCCTGCACTGGCCCTGAGCTCTGTTAATTCTAGTTTTTCTTACAGGTCACTTCCTCTTGACCCATCTGCTGCTAGAGAAGCTGAAGGAATCAGCCCCATCAAGGGTAGTGAACCTGTCTTCCTTAGCGCATGTCCTGGGAAGGATCCATTTCCATAATCTTCAGGGCGAGAAATTCTACAGTGCGGGTCTGGCCTACTGTCATAGCAAGTTAGCCAACATTCTCTTCACCAAGGAACTGGCCCGGAGGCTAGAAGGTAGGCTTGGAAGAAATGAGTGTGGAGACATGAGTCGGGGAAGGAGCTCAAAGCCACAGGAACAGAAACTGTTCTCTGGAGCCTGTCCTCTGGCCAGGGCCTGCTTCCATGGCTGTAGCTGGGTCTAGGTTTAGTAAACGCCCATCAGTGAATATTGGAGATGGCCGTCAGGGGATGGAGACATTCTGACTGTGAGGCTGAAGGCTGGGTTTCACCACTTCCTAGCTGTGTGACCTGCAGCAAGTTAACTTTTCGAGGCTTACTTCCTCATGTAAAATGGGACCACTTCACAGGTTGTTGTCATAATTAATTCAGGCTTCATGAGCAAGTCAAGGTTTTTTACTCGTAGTGAAACTAAGTATAAGTGAGGGACCTGAACTGGCACTAGATAGAGCCATTAGGATAAAGCAAGTGCAAGGGTGGGAGGGGAGTGGGGGGTGACTCCCTAACAGCAAAGGGTCAAATAAGAGGGAAATGTATGCTTGAGGAGGGGACTCTCCAGTCACAGATAAACACAGTTCCTTAGCATCATCCACTCTGGATTTCCAGGAAAGACAAAGGAAATCCAGGGTGGACAGTTGGAGTTGCTTAGGAGTTGCGTTGGGCAGAGTTCAGGCCGAAGGAATCAGACACAGGAGCCCCATTGGTCAGCTCAGTTCACATGTCCAGTCTATGCCCAGGACATGACATTCTGATTAGAAATTAAATGGGTTACAGTGTGGGCGGGTTGAGGGGGCTAAGGAACATTCCAGGTAGAAGGGGAGAATGCATGAAGTTCTGGGCTGTTTGAGAAACAGAGAGAGGGGAGGTATGGTTTGAACATAGAATATAAAATATGGGTCATTTAGAGTAGATCTTGAGTTGAAAATAAATAAAAATCCACAGTCCTTTATCTGTCACTTGTGAAATCTACAAAGGACTAAAAATTCAGTTTTTGTATAAGTTGACACCAGAACACATTAGGCAACGAAACTTCATCTGTACTAGGGAGAGTAGGTAATAGACAGAATATGTATATGTATCATATTACCTTTATAATACAGAAAAAAATCAGAAACATTTCTGGCCCCAAGGATTCCAGTGAAGAATTTGGGACCTAAAATAGTGTATGTATAAATGCCATTTGTACTGGTAAATGTATAACTGTACCAGACACTATTCTTTTTTTTTTTTTTTTTTTTAGTATTCAAAACAGTTTATTCTTTTTTTTTAAATTGTTTAAAGTATTACATATGTCTCCTTTTTCCCCCGATTGACCCCTCCCCGGCCACTCCCACCCCCAGGACAACACTAGACACTATTCTAAGCTCTTGTACATATGACTCATTTAGACATCAGAACAATCCAGTGAGGTGCAGAGCTTATGATTATCCCCATTTCATAGATGAGGAAACTGAGTCACAACATCCAGAGCTTGCCAAGGTCACACAGCTAATGAATGGTAGAGCTAGGATTTGAAATGGGGCAGCATGTATTCATGTCCTCTGCTCTCTTTGGCCCTTCAGCAACATTAAGTCCTGTCTTCCCCTCTCTTTATGGCACACCCTCCTCAGGCTCTGGCGTTTCAGTGTATTCTGTACACCCTGGCACAGTCCACTCTGAATTGGTTCGGCACTCATTTTTCATGAGATGTATGTGGCGGCTTTTCTCCTTCTTCATCAAGACCCCTCAGCAGGGAGCCCAGACCAGCCTGCACTGTGCCCTTAGCAGAGGGTCTTGAGATCCTAAGTGGGAATCATTTCAGGTATGAATGTATCTGTTTTTGAAGATGAAATTTTATTGCCTAAAGGAAATAATTTGGATTTGTTTGGTGTTCTATGCCCTTTTTAAAAAGTACATTGTCTAACATAGTTTTTTTCCTTTAATTCTAGGGTTTTTACCTTTTAATAGGGGAATTTGACCCATTCACACTTTTTTTTGTGGTAATTGCTAGGTTTGATTTTATTCATGTCATCTTTTATTTTATGTTTTCTGGTTGTTTCTTTTATTCCTATGTTTTGTTCTGTCAATCCAATTTTCTTTGTTCCTTGTTAGAATCCTAGTTTTATTTATTTATTTTTTTTAAGAATTTGAACGTATATTTCTTTATTGTCTTCAGGACTGAAATAGTATCAATGGACTCATTTCTTGAATAAGTGAAGACTTTTTAAACTTTTTATTAGAGAATTTTGAATATACACAGTAGTAGACAGAATAGCATCTCGAATCCCCATATACCCATAATCCAGCCTCAACAACCATTACCCATGGCCAATCCTGCCCCATCCCAATCTACAACCCCTCACGAAACCACTATCCTTCCCATATTTTTCTCATCCCATATTATTTGGAAGAAAATACCAGATATTACATAAGATCAAATTCTTAGGGTGTTTTTACCTCTACCTTCAAGATTTTATGGAAATGACCTGAAATTTTAGAGGATGGACTATAAATAAATTAAGGTTGGATTGGGAGGTAGGAAGTCAGATCATGAAAGGCCTATAATGCCAGACTGAGAGGAGCCACAGTTTTCAGTAGAGAGAGACATAATCTGGTCTGTGCTTTAGAAAAACATCCCTGGTGACTTTGTTTAATGAATTAATACGTATCCCAAGTGAGAGATAATGAGTTCCTGATTTGGGGTAATGACAATTGGAATGAAAAGAGCGGTTAAGTGAGAAAGGCAGAATTTTTGCCACTTGTTGACTGAGTGAGAGAGTGGGGGAAGATTTGGTGACTTGGGTTCAAGCCTGAGTTATGAGGAGATTGATGGTGACATTAACTGAGACAGCACACATGAAAAATAATGTGTATAACTCAGGGCTCTTTGATTCCAAAGCAGTGGAATTGGATTCTAGCTAGCATAAGCAAGAAGGGAATTTTCTAAAATATGAGGCTGCTCCCCAGTCCAAAGAGAAGACTGAAGAGCCAGGCTGTAGTATTGGAATAATTTTTACAGCACATCGTAGCTTCCAGGGCACCTTCAGGCCTATTGTGTCATTTGCTCTTCACCCTAAACTATGCAGAGTGTGCGGCACAGCGCAGTGGAGGCTGCAGAGGCCACGTCGTTCCCAGAGGCACACGGAGCCTTTGCTTCTCAGTGAACTTTTCACTCAGAAACGGCAGGCCGTGCTGGCGAGTTCCCTTAAACCGAAGTGCCTTATTTGTAAGGCTTGTTTTTAAATGCAAAGACTCATTTAAGTCATTTTTCTCAAACTCTCGTGCATTTAAGAACCATCTGGAGAACTGGTTAAGAACAGATTCTGGGCCTCTCCCCAGAGATGCTGATTCAGGAGGCCTGGCGTGGGGCCTGAGAACTGGCATTCCTAACAGGTTTCCAGGCGACGCTCCTGCTGCTGGTCCCCAGCCCACACTTGGAGTAGCACGGTCTTAGTGGACACAGTGTCAGGAGTTTGCTTCATGTCATTACTTCAGACTTATCAACTCAGCTTTTCACCTTTGGAATTTGCTTAGTATGTCTAGGAAGCAGTTTTCTTGAGATTGTTAGTTTTAAAATTTGCTTTTTATATTATTTCAAAGATTGTGATCTGTTTACTCAATCATTTAAAAAAAAAAAAAACACCTTCATTGAATACCTACTGTATACTAGATGCAGAAAATACAAAACTGAGTAAAAGTATTATCCTTGAAAAAAATTTCTGGGTGGTGCAAAGTTGGGATATCCACCCTGCATTTAATAAAAAAAAAAAAAAAAGAATTACAGCAATAAAGAGAAGGTATATGAAACACTGGATACCTTGTTACCATTTCTTTTCTGCTATCATCTTTTCCTTCTTTCATTATTTATGAAGCTGACTTTACTTGTTTTTTTTGTTTGTTTTTGTTTTTAGTTTAAAAACAGGTGGACCAGAAATAAGTGTTTTGTGTTGTTTTATTTGCCATTCTAAGCATCTGTGACCAATGTAAATAGCAGGATCTCAGGTCCATGACACTGTACAAGGTCCTATAGAATGGACCTCAGACATTTAGTTGAACAAAATGGACATAGGTATCAAGCAGGCACTGATATTACAATTAAATATATACATACAAAGGAGAATGTTCAGACTAAATGAAATGCCTTTATATCAAACAAAGCATTCTGATCAGAGGTGGTCTAGTGAGCTCTAAAATGGTAATTACAGCCCGGCTGATGTGACTCAGTGGTTGAGTCTAGACCTATGAACCAGGAGGTCACAGTTCAATTCAGTTTGATTCTCGGTCAGGGCATTTGGCTGGGTTGTGGGCTCGAGATGTGCAGGAGGCAGCTGATCAATGATTCTCTCTCATCGATGTTTCTATCTCTCCCTCTCCCTTCCTCTCTGAAATCAATTAAAAAATCTCAATGGATTGAGATAATACTCCAGAGAATGGCAGTTTATAAAAAATAAAATAAAATGGTAATTACATTTTCTCTGGGGTAAAGATTGGAGGATGAAGAGCTAGGACAAACACTGGATCTGTGAAGTGCCTAGAGGACATGTCACCCCTGGGTTGTTTTTCTGTCGTATTCCTCATCCCAGGCAGAGAACAGACTCCATCTTAACCCCTCTCTTTCCCTTCTAGTGACTGCCGTGTGACGTGGGTCTCTGCCCAGGCTCGGAATATGACAATAGCAAGGCGGCTATGGGACGTCAGCTGTGACCTGCTGGGCATCCCTATGGATTGACAGGTGGTGGCCGTTGGACCCAAGAGAAGTGTGCAGCAGACTACTCAGTGCTCCCTGCCAAAATGACTCTCCTTCAGGGTGGCCAAACCTTGAGCACAAAGGGAGCAAACCTTCTGGCCTTGGCAGCTTTCTGAGAGAAGCCCCGTGCGCACTGCCAGGCATCGCAACGCCTTGCATCTGTCCAGACTGACTTTGCTCCCCTTCTTGCCAGTTACTAGAGATATCACAGGACAAGTACCCCTCGGGACCACCAGCTCATCTGTTCCCTCTGAGACGCACCACCCAGGAGAACCTAAGCTCTGGCAAGGTTGATTTGTGGCAGTTTGGACTCGTTTCTACCCTCTGTGTTCACGGTGTATTGTCTCCCAACCAAACAACCTTCACTTGGAGAGGGCCACGCTACAGCCTGAGCTGAATCCAGGAGTGACGTTGGCTCGCTTGGCTCAAGAGCAGGGCTTGTCCCTCACCTCTTAAAACCATCGTAGGGCGAACATCTGGATTCTTTCAGGAAATGTAACTGAATCTGGATTGTGGGATGGCTCTCTCTCTCTCTGACAACCTAAAGCCACTGCTCAGACATGTTCCCATGCCTAGACCATGGGAGAGCTTCCTTTTCTAAGAAGTTTGTGGGTTTGGGAGGATGGCAGAAATATGGGGGAAGGCAGAAATAAAAATGAAGTTTAAACTCTCATTTCCCTGCTATTTCTCTGACCAGCAAGGAGGTAATGAAAGGATCAGTTTGAGAAGGTAGGCCTCCTGACATCAGTTACTGACCCCAGACCCATGGAGGCCTCCTTTTTGTGCTGTAGTTTCTCTTTGGTGATTGTTATTGAATAGATGTGTTCCTATGTACTTTTGCAGTTGGGAGTATTTTCACAAAATCTGAAGTAGCCACAAAGGAACAGTATTAAATTGGACCCTGATGCAGGTAAATGATCAGAGATGGAGCAAGCCAGTGCCACCCAGTCTTTGATACAAATGGCTAGAGCTGCAAGGGAAGCAGATTCTGTTTATGTTGATAACTACCCACCAAGAAGCACATGGAGAGCAGGAATTCAAAGATAATAGGCCTGGAAGGTAATGAAGGGACCAAAGGATTTTTTTTAAGCTGAAGATGGTAATATCCAGCTATAGAATTAAGGGTGAGCACCCGAGTTAGCAAGGCTGATAGAGCACTATCTTAAGCACCAGTCAACCAATGTGGCAGGGGAAAAAAACAAACAAACCCCAATTCCTTATTTAGCAAAATTATCTTAAGGACTGATACTGGTAGTTAGTCAATTTAATAATTTTTTAGGGTTATCTCCTTACATATCTTGACAAGTATAAAAAAAAAAAAAAAAAAAAAAAAAAAAAAAGCTACATTGTATTTGGAGAACTTTTTAAAATGTGTTTTTGATTTTTTTAGAGAGAGGGGGAGAGACATCAATGTGAGAGAGAAACATTGATCCGTTACCTTCCTTTCGGTGCACAGGATGACATTCAACCAACTGAGCCACACTTGCCAGGGCTTATGTGGAGAACTTTTTATCAAAAGTAATGTTGCTAGCCCTGGCTGGTTTGGCTCAGTAGATAGAGCGTCAGCCTGCGGACTGAAGGGTCCCCGGTTCAATTCCGGTCAAGGACACATGCCCGGGTTGCCAGATTGATCCCCGGTGGAGGGTGTGCAGGAGGCAGCTGATCAATGATTCTCTCTCATCGCTGATGTTTCTATCTTTCCCTCTCTGAAATCAATAAAAATATATATTTTTTAAAAAGTAATGTTGCCAAAGGAAATCTGAAGAATTGCTACTGTTTTCATCACTTGTTTACAGTATGTTATTCTAGTAAGAGTTTGAGATTTTCTTGGACTAACAATTATATATATACTTTGATGGGGAAAAGGGTTATAGGACCAAGTCTTCTCATATTTGTAAATTAATAATCTTTTGTTGAACTTGTTTTGACTATTTATATTTAGAAGTGGCCACTTTATGGAAAACTTTTTTGTAATAGTGCAGTGGAATAACTGAATTAATATTTTACTTAATTTATATTGATCTGTCAATGACAAATAAAAAATTTTGATTATTTATTGTTTTAATTTACCAGAATAAAAACTGTAAGAATTAAAAGAAAGTTTAAATAGAGTCAACAGAAGAAAACAATGTTTAATTATAGTTAAAAGAAGAAACACTTCATTATTACAGGTATGCAATCATTTCTCATTCTAAGAATAATTTGTCCCAGTCTTTCTACAATACAGTCTCAATTGAAATGCCATTAACTTCAGTTGTGTGATAATCTGACCATTCATTCACCCATTTTCTACTTTCCTTTGGTGATGCTGTTCAAAGATTACTTTTTCCACCCCAGGTTAGCTCTCCTCTTGTACCTGCCCCTTCGATAACGGATTTTACAGGACACTGCCGGACAATCTCAGGCTTTGCTCTCTCTATGTGCTTAATTTTTAGGAGGTCAACAAGTTTCTTGAATCAATGGTTAATGAACTCAGTCTAATAAAAATAAGGGCCCAGGAGATTAAAATCACCAAATCGTCCTCCTGAACAGACATGTATCTTTTAATGTGTGTGGGCAGTTTTAAATATTGACTGCCAAACAAACATTTCATAACGGGCTCCATAGGCAAACCATGAAATCGGTGAAAATAGGAATTCCCTTCCGCTGAACCAGGAAAACCCGTGGAGTGCAGGAAGGACTTGAACACCTTACACTCACCGGAACGAGACTGGAGGCGGGTCCCCCCGGCTCACCCCGTTATACATCGCCAAGCGCAGAGAGTGACTCTCTTCATCGCCAGCGCATGGCCCCGACCCTTGCACAGTGACTGCTGACATTAAACATCGCTGAGTTCATGTTTCGGGGGTCTCAACGCCCGGTGGCCACTTCTGAAAGCAGGTGTCCCCCCCCACGGAGGGCAGGCCGGAACCTGGCCCGAGTACCTTTCAAGAGCTGAAAACTACCATTCGGTCAGGACGCGAACTAAGTTAGGGGGGCCGAAAAGTGCGACAGGTAACGTCCAGTCACACGCCGACACCCAACCAATACGCTCAGCGTCTCCCCCAGCAGCGGCGCTGGGATCCACCGCGCCCCTCAACTCGTGACCTCCGGGTAGCCCGCCTCCCCGCCGAACTACAGCCCCCGGATGCACCGGGGCGGCCGCCTTCGCCCGGAGGGGGGGGCCTGGAGCGGGGCGGCCGCGCTGGCCCGAACCCGCGGTCCGCACAAGGCCCCCTTCGCTGCGGCGCGTTTCCCCCGAGGCCCGGCACTGGGTGGTTTTCCGAGGTGGTGTAGAATTCCTGGCCAGGCCCGGGGCCTGCGGCCGCTTTTCAAAGGGGGCTTTCGGGAAGCAAAGCCGCCCCCGCCTTTTCCGTCAGGACTTTTCCCGCCCCCGGCCCCCCCCCGAGATGAAG